TTCAGCCTACTAGGCAGCCAGCTGCTTGAGCAGCATCAAAGGAACAGTTTCCAAATAATTTGCTTTGGGAGAGCTGCTTCCACACAAGAATAGTGTATCAACATTCTCATATTATAAAAACCAACATATGCATCTGGCCGAGTTGCTTCCTAACCTTCTGCTATGCTTTCTCCAACTAAAACTGTGTCTGTCTCAGGAGCTGGCACTGGCAGCTGCATACCACTGCTGGTAAGCTCTAGATTTCCATTACATGGAAACCACTCTGAGACTAAATATAATTACCCTTTAGCCTGGTAGTCATTTGTTGCTCTACTCTGGCAGAATTAGGGCAACAGTGTTGCTTGTTTTCATTACTGTATGTGCACTAAAAGTTCCATGGCACAGAGGGAGAAGAAGACAATGAGAACAAGTCAGAGAAAACACTTTTGCTGATAGCAGCTTCATCCCTCCAGGAAAGACATTTACAAAGTAGCTCCCATAAAAAACCTCTTCCACATTCTGTTGTGTTTAATTATTTATCAAGAGTGAAGGAAACGTGCAATTTAACCATAACATACATGAAAATAATTGAATGGCTTTTCATTTCCAATTCATTTCTCGGCCAATTATGCAATCAGTTCTTAAAACCCTTTGGAATAGATATGCAACATTTACTTTATTTCAATTTATTTTCAGTAGGAAGACTTCCTCCTCAGGCAAAGAAAGTCTTTCTTACAGCTTACTAACCTATTTTCAACTCTCTAAAAGACAAAGAAATTTAAATAATATAGAGAATACAAAACGAAGAACAATGAATGGTATTGGCGGTGATTTCTTTAGAACTTTTATCACATTCGTGTGTATGTGAGTGCACACCATGGCACACATGTGGCAATCAGGTCAGAGGACAGCCTGCAGGATTGCCTTCCATCATGAGGTGTCTGCGTATTAAGCTCAGTCTGTCAGACTTGGCAGCAAGTGTCTTCAACCACTGAGTCATCTTATTGGCCTGTGACCAGTAACTTCTAAATGACATAAATTTTATGCTCTTATCCTACTTTCTTTCTGATTCTTAGACCTTTCTTTTTTCCCTCACAGCTCAACTGACAAAATATAATCATCATTCATAATAATTTAAAATCAAATACTGACCTGGAGAAGTATTTACTTTGCTCAAGTTGGAAAATCAAATTCCTTCTCCCACATATCACCATCTAGTGAACTATAGAAACCAGTTAATAACCTTTGTCTCTACTCTCTGTGTTTACCACCCTCTCCAAAATTCTATGGGTACCATTAAATCAGAGAGGGATCAACCACCACTCACTTTTATTTCTAAGGTACATAAAACTTATGAATTCAGAAATGTTATGACATACATTTTATTAAACACTCCAAGAAAGCCAAAGGACAGAGAAGTTAATTTTCTTCCTCAACAACGCATGTCTGGCACATAGTAAAGCAGATTTGGAACCCAAGAGGAAGAGCAGAGGTTGTGGGTGGAGCTGCAGCTGGCTGGTGGTAGGAGACACGTGACAGAGCCTTGCATTTATTTTTCTTCAGTGTAGCACTTGGTGAGTTTACAAGCTGAGGGGTTGGGAAACGGATATAGTGGAGATTTGAGAAATGGAAATAAGAATTCTTGCTTCTGAGAGAAGAAAGTGAATTCATTAGCAAGGACTGGGAGCACTGAATGCCCCACTGAAATCCCTGGTCATAAACTTCAAGTCAGTCAATTTGACTTGATTGGATGACACTTGCTAGTTAGTTTCAAATGCCTGACATCAGGCATAAAAAGAAGAGTTGGATTTAACTAGGGTGGGGTTTTGGTCAGGCAGGAGTTATGAAGGAAGGAAGGAGGCTAGGGATCCAGGAGTATTTATAAAAGTGATGATAGTAAGGAACCATGGAATCTAGGTTGGGTCAGGAAGAAGTATGTCCAGTAAGGACAAGACAGATTTAGGGAAGGTGACGAGGTCAAAGGATTGCAGATCTATGAGGGAGAACAGCTGGAGTGTAGACACTGAAGGAAGGGACTAAATAATGGTCAGAGTGGGGTGTCTGAGGAGGAGGAATGTGTGATTTGTGACAAGATCTGAGTACAGTTACACGGATGGGGAGCTGGGGTTGCATAAAACAGATAACTGCATCAAGAAGGGGCACAGTCCTGGATCAATCGGCCAAGGGCCAGGCAGAGTTGAGGAAGACAGTGCTGCAGTCTGGTGAAGATGGTGAAGAGGACTGCCAGGAAGAAAAGTCAGAGGAGTAAAGTCTGCTCACATGTGAAAGACGTGGGGCGACTGACTGCAGGAGACAGGTGTAAGCTGTGAGCTGTGATGGTGAACGAGGGTACCATCCACCTCCCTGCAGGCGCTGAGGTTGGTGAAGAGCAAAATAAACTCAAGCTCTAATCTGAGAGAGATCCTCACAGTAAAAGGGTAAAGGCACTGTTCTGAGAAAGGCTGTGGTGTAGCACTAAACTTAACATACGGTGTGTTCTCTGTCAGTAGTTCTTGAATTTTAATCTAAATTTTCTAAGTTTATGATATCTTACAAGGAAAAATACTCAGAATTTATTTGCAAAAAATCTGGAACAGATTAAAAAGGAAATGATCTTCTAACAATTGTATTTCCCAAATCCAAGAAAGATTTATCTTTAAAAATTAGTTCCCTGGCCAAGATAAACAGAGTCAAACAGCATCTTATTGTTTCTGGCTTGATATAAATGGACAGCTCACTGCTATAAAATAGAACCAGGCACTGTATTGCATAAGAGCACAACCTCAGAAGAACGGAATCAAGTCAGTTCTACATGGGTGAGAAAATAAGCTTCTCTGAACAGAAACTGAGCAGAGTCATAGAGTTCAAGCAAAGAAATCCAAGTAGCTATGGGATAAGAACAGATGAGATTTCACAAATACCATAATACATTTGGAGTAAATTATCCTTCATTGAGTAGTAGTGTGATTATCTCATGAATATCTTTAGAGGTATGCATGTAGAAGCAAGAAGACAACTTGGGTAAGTAGGTTCTCTCCCTCCACTATGTGGATTCCAGGGAGCAAACTTAAACTACCAGGTTTGGCAGCAAACACCTTTACCCAGTGAGCCATCTTGCTGGCCCATGTTCTGAATGTCTTTGTGAGACTCGGGATGTATCCTAACATTTTGTGCTGTAATAAACACACTATTTCTACTTTATACCCAGAGGCTGTCTCTAGGCATTTCAACTAGCTGTCTATATGCTCGTTCAATCATGAGATTCTACAGTCCTTTATGACCTTATATATGAAATAAAAATGCCTGATGTTTACTGGCATTTTACTAAGCTCTATCCCAAGCTCAGCGTTTTATTGTATAGTGGTATTTGATAATTTGATTATGGCTATTAATCAGAATGTAGTCTGGTTCACTTGCAGGCTACGTCAAAGGGCTTTTCGATTACATTTTCCTCATATACTCTGGGGTTCTAATCACTAGACAGAAAATTTATCATAAGTTCTATTATGCTGTTTTGCTAGATAAACTCTGTTTCAATGAGCAGAATATTCCCATATTACTTATAGGAATCTCTCTGGAGTATAGTGATTGCTGTGCTTAATTCTCCCTCTAGATCAATGTTTCTCAACCTGTGGGTCCCAGCCCTTTGGAGGGCTGAGCAACCCTTTTACATGGATTCATAGCTGTAGCAAAATTACAGTTATGAAGTAGCAATGAAAATAATTTTATGGTTGGAGGTCACTACCACAGGAGGAATGGTATTTAGCAGTCATATCATTAGGAGGTTGAGAACCACTGCTCTAGACTATAAGCAGAATCACTGGGCCTCGTCATCTTTGGCTAGCCCCTGAGTATCTATCAGTATTATGTTTAGTGTAGCATCTAGTGCTAGCAGGTAGAACAAGTCCAATAGCAATCTTATTAATAGCAAGCTCATCAAGGCTGCACATAAACAAGCTTCAGTGACTTGTCTAGAATTTATTAGTATTAAGCTAGAACAGGAAACTACTTTAAGTTCCAAAGCTATAATTGAAAAGGTCACCATTAGCATTTATCAAAGATTTTATACATTGTACATATGACTAGAGAGACGCTCAATAGCAAGTCTATAGAGTAGCATGCTAGCTTTCCCAGTTTTGTCAGTGTAAATAAAAAAAATTACTCTTTATTTTGAAAAGTATAATAATTTGGGGATCTGGAGAGATGGCTCAGAAGTTAGGAGCATGTACTGCTCTTACAGAGGACCTGAGTTTGGTTCCCACACCCATGTCAGGTAGCTCACTACAGTTAGGTCCAAAGTGGCCCCCAAACGGCAGTGCTGATGACAATGTCAGACAGAAGGATTCTGACCCAGTAAACAGAAGGGTTGTTACTGGGTAAACAGAAACCTTAGGAATCTTCTAAGGCAGATTTCTATTTACCAGGAAATCCACAACTTCCCTTGTCTGCCCCAGTGGTCATCAACCACAGGCAAGGACATCTAGTTCCCAAACAGCCTACTACAGATCAAAGTCCTCATGCTAAATCCCAGGCTGTTCTGGGCTGCACCTCTCCTCCCATGGCCACCTGTCCCCTTAAAATTGATAAGGGTGATACGGGTTTTCCCACCACCTGCTGTTCTCTGCCCTCTGGGAGACAGCCAGCAGTTTGATGCTCCACACAAAGTTTTCTTCTACCCACGGAGTGGTCTAGTTCAGTGGTTTCACTGTGCTTACAACTAACTACCTCCTTTGACTCCAGCTCCAGGGGATCCAATATGCTCCTTCTGGCCTCTGTGAGCATCTACACATACCTCCCCTAATACATATACTTTTAAAAAACAATGAAAATAAATCTTAAGAAATATAATGGTTTAAAATTAAGAGTAATGAAATTAAAATTAATGTTTTGTAAAAATAAACAGTGGGGAAACATTTCCAAAATAATATATGTATAAATTTGTCTGAATGTCCTTTCATTAACCCAGAGGATATTGGTTAAGCAACGGACTCTTTTGTTAACAAATTGAAATTTCAACTTACCATTTATGTTTATTGCTGGTAAGACAATTGACATTTTTGGTCTTGTGGTCTTGTTATGGGTAGTAGCTGGCAACAGCAGGTGATCCTAAAATTAAGAAAGAACAGCCTTTTATATGTAATTGTCTTAGTCCAGGAACATTCTAAATTTATAATTTTAGGAAGCCAGAATTTCACTTGGGTAATGAAAAATTAGTTTTTGTAAGAACTTGGCTTAGAAATAATCAACCACATGTGATCTTAATGCAGTACATATTTACTGGGGGTGAGGGCTATCATTACCAGACACACTGTGGCAGGTTTTGAATACTCCTAGATTCTGATAATGATGCGTGATTAGGACACCATAAAGAGTACTGGTCAAGTTATCAAGACAACAGATCTTAACTCTAGTTGAGCATAAAAGAGCTGTGTGATCTGGACAAGACTGCATCCTCTGTCCAGGTTTCAGTGTCCAGTCCTCCAGAAACACAGGGCTGGAATAGGTGATGGTATAGTTACAATTAAACATTCATTCTCCCTCTTTCTTTTCTTCCAACATAGTATTTTTATTGATTATTTGGGAATTTCACACAATACACCCTGATTATTCTTGCTTCCCAGGTCCACCTCCACCCTGCCATCGTCCCCCACCCCTTCCAAGAAGAAGAAATAAGAAAAGGAGAAGGAGTCCAATTTGTGTTGCTCATATATTCACTGGAGCATGGTCAAGCTCCCATGGCCAGCCCCTCAAAGATAACTGAGTCCTTCCCCACCCTCCCCCTGCCAGAAGCTATCAATTTTGAAGAGTTACCCTTCAGCAGCCCGATCACAATGTTTAAGGGCCCTCTTCAGTGACTTCCTGTCTAGACTTAAACAGTCATTTTCATACCATTTATAAAGGAGAGAAACTTTTTGTCCTCCAAAATTCTCCTAAATTACCAATATGTAAAAGGATAAAGCAGGTCCAGGCCAAGGGCCCTCCCGGCCTGCGTTGTGTCTTCCTTTGAGGTAAAATGCCATAGTGTTAGATATTTAATCTGTGACAGCGCACACTAAAATGTCTGTGGGCTGGCGAAGTGGCTTAGGCTGAGTGCATGAACACAAGGCAGGCATGGAGGATGTGCAGTAATCCCAACACCAGGGAAGCAGACACAGAAGGCGTCCTGGATTCAACAGCTTGCCACCCTAACAGACTCGGAGAGCTCTAGGCCTGTGAAAAACCTTGTCCTAAGGAACAATACCTGAGACCAGCCTCTGACCTTTACACACATGCACATGCATACACCAACATATACACACACACCTGTACATACACACATCCACAGAAAGCATACAGTTAAAGTGGAGGGCTGAAAGAACTCAGTTTGTCTACCAAAATTACACAGCTCTAAAAAATGACATAACCAACATTTGATGACCCACTCACAGTAAGAATAAACCAAGGGGAGGCCGGCTGCAGAACAGTGGGGAGGTTGAGTATTTGGAAAATGTAGTTCCATCTATAGATAGTCCAAAGCAGGTGATAAATGGCCTATGATTTTAATATTAACCAGTATTATTAATGACTCTTTCCTAGCAAAAACATGAAATTACCACAGGGGTAAAAGTTCTGACAGTATTTCTTTCTACTTAAGGGAGCATGCTACACTAAGTGAAGACAAAACCTCAGCTGAACGTACTTGGCATTGCTTTTTGTTGTTGTTCCTATAGTCACTGTTCTATTATTCACTCAACAAATTTGCTATAAGGACAAAGGCCTCAAAATGTTGGATTTGATATGGCTGAGAGTGAGAAATGAAGTTATCTGAAAAGCAAAGGAAAAACCTAGACTGTGAAAGACAGTTAAAATAGACAGCCATGGGCAGAGCTGTGTGGAGACACATGGTAACTGCTGTGCTTCATGGGATTCAAAGCCACAGCTCCATGAGAACACACTTCTTAAGTGTGGAGAGAAGAGTGAGGGACTGTACAATCTCAGCACTAGCAAGGATGGGTGTTTTTTCTTTACGTTTTGGTTTGTTAAGTGCATTGTTAGACACAAAGATCACACATTTCTGAGAGCAAGATAGTAAATTATAACCTAGAAGAAACACAATTTGCTCATCTTCCTGTTATGAAAATTATAAATAGCTTAATTCCTATAATTAAAATATTGTTCCATGGTCTAAATTGAATAAGAAAACAACCCTCAAATTGCAAGGCCTAAATTAAGGTTACTGTAAAAACAAACACACTTAGATTGCATTGGTGAAGGGTTAAAGTCAGGCTCAGACTTAATTATGAGTTTGTTGCAAAGACCTAGATGTTTCTAAACATGATTTTTTAAAAATGTAATGTCTCCTATGTTTTGTAGCAGGAAGCAAAAAGTTATGCTATTGTTTATGAAAAAGAAGAACCACACAGCATATTTATATACATTATTAAAGTTAACCTGTCTTGTTTCTCATCATTAAAAGTAAGCAAAAACTGTAGGGTAGCATTTCTTTGTTTGAGGGACTCACTACATCGCTAAAGTTGGACTAGAACTTGCTATGCAGTGTGGCTAGCTCTGAGCCCTCCTGCCTCTTCCCTCTGTTGGGATTATAGGTGGGAACCTGAGCTTTTTGTTTTTTTCTCCGTGCTGGGGACAGAACCAAGGGTAACACATATGATACAGCCTAGAACTTAAAGTGCTTGTTTTACTGATCAAATTGAAGGGAACCAAAGCTAGTGTACTACTGATTCTAAGAGTATTTTATATAAAAATATCACACACACACATACATATATGATGAGGATAGCACAGTTGCTTTGTTGAACAGGTGCCTTTACTTCCTTAAAAAAAAATGATCCTTTAACCAAAAATGAACTTTGAATTATTTTCCTGTATTCATCTCACTCTATGAGATCATTAATCCTATTAGCTGTAACTGTAGAAACTAGGAACTTAGTCAACAAGTATTTGCTGACTTCCACCACTCATCACAGAAAACATTTACTGAGCACACTCACCTACCATATATTCAGCACCGTGCCACACACGGTGGTTTTTATTTTCTTGCCGAAACAACTGTGCACTGAGAGAGAAACTGATTTGTTTCCAATATATGCTCTCCTGCTACTATAATTTTTGAATAGAAACAGAACCTGTGATACTTAATTGGGCAGAAAGAAGACTCCTTTGCATTCAGGCGAGGCAACTTAGTCCAGTTGAAAGGACTTTTCTGAGCTGAGTAATGATGGAAGGCCACCCATGTTCTCCCTCCTGCTACCTAGAAAGCAGCTACATGGCAGCTATAGCTAGAGAAGCCACAGTGGGCTCTGAGATGGAGGCTGTAACCAGAGGATTACAGAGCAAAAAATCAGGAGATTGGGACCTTGGTGACCAGGGAGCCATAATATATTTAAAAGTTATAGATGAGACAGAGATAGAAATTGACTTTCCTAAGTCACTACTGCATTTTCTGTCATTCTAAAGCTAGGTTTAACTAGTTACTGTATCTGTTTGTGGGTCAGTACTAAAGATATTTGGTCAACAAGGCAACAGAAATTCAATAAAGGTTAACATAATCAGGGATAGCTTTATTAACTTTGTTTTGAGACATGGTATCACTATGTAGCCTGGGCAAGCCTGGAACTCCAGAATGGCCTTGAACTCACAGAGACTTACCTGTCTCTGTTTCCCAAGTGGTAAGATTCAAGGCGAGCACCACTACATCTGACACTTTGTTAATTTTTAACTGCACAGAAAAGCCACATTTATTATTAAGACTTCTTGATACGGAGCCCCTTCCCCTCATCTAAATCTGTATTAAAGAACTAGTGGAGGAAATTCAATCCTGGAAAAGTAGAGGTGTAATTTGATGAATCTGAGCACAAAATAACCCAAGTACAACAAAAGTTAAGCTATTTAGAAGTAAAAACAAAATGCAAAAGGATATTGCTCCAGAAATAAATGTATCTCAACACTGTCACTCAAAACCTTGTTGCTTATTTTAAGGCATTTTCAAATGGGCTTCTGAAAATCCTGTATAGGGTTGATAAACTCCAGCGTATGCATCTTCAGGGCTAAAACCATGGAGACAAAATTACAGCCAATGCTTTGTTATTCATACTTCCATAGGTTGTTAGACAAATACCAAAGCACTGCACTGTGAGAAAGAGCATCAGCTTTCCAGTATTGTGCAGTAACACATGGTCCAAGATGCCAGTTCTACAGTCCTCCAACTCCCTTCCTGTGTACCTTGTTAGAGATAGTCAAAGTCTGAGGACGGCACAGCATTAAACAGCATTTCATCTTTTTGATGAAGCAAAAGCATCAGAGAAAGACTGAGCAAAAGTATAAGGCATGTTGCTTAACTGGAATTTATGACGATAACTCACAATAAAATTAAGGCCCAACTGAGAGTTAACAAATACATATCCACAGAGTCCAAACTGACTTACTAAACCAATTGCTAATTAATTTTTCTAATTGCTGACTTGTTAGTGTGATTGTGTTTTCAACATTATATAAATTGGTAAACTAAATAAAAATAGAGATGACACAGCTTGATAAAAGTAAATAGGTTGATTCTATTTTTCTCATTGCAAAACTATTAAAGACACAGAAAACACTAAGTTTCCACCATATTGTTTAACAATCTGTAAGTTTTTATCATAATTGAAAATAATTATAAATGATACCTGGAAATTATGGCAGTTGGGTTGTGAATATAGTTTATGGAAGAAAGAAAATACAGGGTGCTGAGCAGCAGATTTAGACTTAAAAACAAAACACTGATCTTACATCAAAAGCTGACAAGTGAAATGATTATTTATATAATTGAATAAAACACCCATTTAAAAAAAATCTCCACTTTAGCTAGTGCATGTCACAGTAGATGAGACAGTCTCTCTTGCATGAGGAAACTCCGGCTCAGCGTGGGAGCCTCTATCTTTGACAGGAAGGGATGCCTAGAATATGCAATGCTGCTCCCTAATAGTAAGAAGCCTTGCCTTGCAAAGGCTCCACGTGTGACACCAAGCAGCTCTGATTGGATCGAGATGGCCTACTGTGATCAAAACGTTCTGTGTATCAGGCCAACACTAACAACAATGGGCTCTTAACATTTAAACTTTGGCTTA